ACGTGTTATCACATTTCATGCAAAGTGTTTTGATACGTGTTTATTTAGGGTTATTTTTCTTTAATTTTCAAATAACTTATATTTTATGCAATTTTATGTATGCAACGTTACTCTTTTCCGTTAGTATACATTCGTCTGCAATTCGGCAATAGAATGATTATAATGTAAATTCTGTAAGATACGGACAGGACGGTCATGGGAGATATATTGAGGCCGCGAAACTACGAGAATAAAACGAGGGGTGGATGAGTGTATATATGTTTAGCGAAATGCGAGCCCAGAACACAGATCGTATGATGTGAACGAGATATGATATCAAACATGAAACATCTTAAGCTAACCATGCTAAACAAGATAAGATCAATACAGACAATATATGTACTGATGATTATAAAAATTGCATAATTACACAATTTAGCTGCCCGCTGCAATATTACATTGCATGTATACTCCATCATACTTCAAAACCAAGAGATCTGGGTTATAATCCATCTTCAGCAACCCATGCTTGTCGTAAGAGGCGACTAACGGGATCGGGTGGTCAGGCTCGCTGGCTTGCAATTGGTTGACACATGTCATTTTATCTCAGTTGACTAGACCGATGCTCCTCTGGTCTGATTACCTATCATGCAAAGACTTTATACTGTATGGTCACAAACGAAGCCCCCGGGAGTAGAAAATCTTGACAAGCAAAGAGCCACAAGTCGTAGAACTTTTACGCATGCATCAGTCGGTCGTGAGGCTTTTGTCCGTTTGTTTGATTTACGCAACGCTCAATATTGTATGGCTTCCGTCTCCAACTAATCTAGTCTGGACCATACTATCCAGTGATTGACAACATGAGCACCGATCAACGAAACTGACATGACTTAGCAAGCCTGACTCACGGACCCTTGCGTGGGAATACACAATGCCAAATATAACACATGTGGCCCTTGTGTGGTCGCTTAACCATTTCAAAATCAATTTCATATTATTGATGTCTAAAATGAACTATTCTATATAAATTTAAACATAATCAGACACTCAGTATTGTACTGTTGGCATTGTATCGCTGTTTTAATGTGAAATCGTAAATCATGAACAGAAACATGATATCTACCTTGTGGCTTCTCTTGGGCGATTATTCCATCGATTCCAATACACGACACCTCACAATTCTGTATTACTATTAATTATTATCGTCGAATAGCGATTGACCCGCCACTTTGGAGCCATCTGGGCACAAATGGCCGACATCGGACCCGCATCAGATCCACATCGGACCGGTTTGAGTGCATTGATTTCTTTCTTTCATCAACGTTCACGAAGCAACACGTGGAGATGCCGTGAGAAGAAAACGTAGTGCACGTGGTGAACAATTCACTCGGAGATGCGAGATGATAAGGAACAGTTCATGCTGATAGAGGGTTTATTGCTTGGAGTCTCAAGTTCTTCTATCAATCTTATATAGTGATACTATTATCTAATGATGATATCATTGTCAAAATAAAAGATCCCGCTTTCTTGCTTCCAAATGTAAGATGTAACATTTATACAACAGAGATAACCGAAATTATAGATTATCAGAAACTATGTCGACCGGTCCGTAGATACCGGAGTCATAATACCATGGATCCCGATTGCATCACGGTAAATGGGCCTGTCTGACAGCGTCACACAGTGTGTGGATAGTTGCTCATACTTACACTCACTGGCTTGCTTGCCCTAACCATGCATGATTATTGACTGGCCATACAGGCAAAGTATAGATTGCACCAACATTCATTCAACTTTGCCTGTGGTGTCTCTTGGCGTAATACAACATTTAGAAACGCCTGTGATGTCTCTAGACGTAATACAACATTTAGAGACGCCTGTGGTGTCTCTAGACGTAATACAACATTTAGAGGCACCTGTGGTGTGTGTAGACGTCATACAACATTTAGAGACGCCTGTGGTGTGTGTAGACGTAATACAACATTTAGAGATGCCTGTGGTGTCTGTAGACGTAATACAACATTTAGAGATGCCTGTGGTGTCTGTAGACGTCATACAACATTTAGAGATGCCTGTGGTGTCTGTAGACGTAATACAACATTTAGAGATGCCTGTGGTGTCTGTAGACGTCATACAACATTTAGAGAGCGTGTGTGTAGACGTAATACAACATTTAGAGATGCCTGTGGTGTTGTCGTGTGTGGTGTGTGTAGACGTCATACAGAGATGCATGTGGTAGTAGACGCCTACAACATTTAGAGATGCCTGTGGTGTGTGTAGACGTAATACAACATTTAGAGACGCCTGTGGTGTGTGTAGACGTAATACAACATTTAGAGATGCCTGTGGTGTCTGTAGGCGTCATACAACATTTAGAAGCACCTGCGGTGTCTCTGGACGTAGGGTAACATTTAGAGACGCCTGTGGTGTGTGTAGACGTCATACAACATTTAGAGGCACCTGCGGTGTGTGTAGACGTCATACAACATTTAGAGACGCCTGTGGTGTGTGTAGACGTCATACAACATTTAGAGGCACCTGTGGTGTCTGTAGACGTAATACAACATTTAGAGATGCCTGTGGTGTGTGTAGACGTCATACAACATTTAGAGATGCCTGTGGTGTCTCTTGGCGTAAGGTAACATTTAGAGATGCCTGTGGTGTCTGTAGACGTCATACAACATTTAGAGATGCCTGTGGTGTCTGTAGACGTCATACAACATTTAGAGGCGCCTGTGGTGTCTCTAGACGTAGGGTAACATTTAGAGAAGCCTGTGGTGTCTGTAGACGTCATGCAACATTTAAAGATGCCTGTGGTGTCTCTAGACGTAGGGTTACATTTAGAGGCGCCTGTTGTAACTCTGGACGTAGGGTAACATTTAGAGACGTAATACGACATTTTTTTAATAAGAATTAGAGACTACTGTAGTGTCTGTTGACGTGAGACAAGATTTAGAGAAACGTTCATAAAATATAGCTCTTGGGCGATACCTGTCATATACATGTATTTGTCACACATACTGTGCCAAAAAAAGAAATGACATTATGATTTCACTGACTGAAAGTTAAATTTAATGTGCAAGACAGTAATATTTTGATAATTTAATGCAAGGTTTAAAACCCTTATACCAATCGAACTTTTATCAACATATGTTATAATAACACACTCATACTGAGCTAGAGATATTCCTCAGAATCTTCAATCACAGAGAAATAATGAAATGTTTCGTTAGCGCCTTTTCTGGTTATAGCAAGGGTGATAATGTCCACCATGAAAAAGAAGAAGAAGAGAATGACCATAATTCAATTAGAGTGAGTGAGTATGATTTTACGCCGCTTTTAGCAACATTCTCGCAATATCGCGACAGGGAACGCCAAGAAATGGGCTTGGCACATTATACTCATGCGGGTTATCGAATCCGGGTCTTCGGCGTTACGAGCGAACGCTTTAACCACTTAACTACCCTACCGGCCATTCAACTACGAAGCCAGTCCCACGTTGAAACATGGTATTAGATTAAGAGCAGATCATTATCAGGAACCGCTGACATTTTCATCTTCCACACTATTCACCTCCCCATGTACGGTACACCTTCGGAGTGACAGGGGGTAGTCCCATCTCATCACAGAAAATGTCAGAGAAATGATTCTGACCTCAGGCTGATTATCGATCTTTCGTTTTCTCGTGGGTCTCCGAAAGGTCATGCTGTAGATAATTTTGCATTAAACTTTCAAACTGTAGATCTAATCTGGGCCTGACTGTATCACTTGATTATGGTCATTACCTCGCTGACGTGCTGTAGGGTGGGGTCTTTGATCTGCTCACTGTCCATGGTTGGCAGTCCTGCCACGAGGGCGGTGAAGGAAATGTATGTTTGGTGACCAAAATGCACAGCATGTTATTGGAGAGTGAAACCCCCAGGTGGGTACAACGTGTGATGCCAATCTCTGATGTCCCGTGATTTTGCTGAGATATCGCTAAATATTGCGGCGTAAAACCACATTCACTCACTTACCATTAGGCTACCAGACTTGTTCGTACAACGAGGAACTGGTTACTGGGGACATTTATTTGTCCGTGAATTCATACATTACCACAGTGGAATGATGTGTGTGGGTAGCCTAAACGTTGGTAGCCTAAACGCACCCACCCACCCCCACACACACCCTCTGGATCCGTTTATGGAAGACATTTAGAAATAAATACCTAACATACGCATTTTTGTCACCAATTGTGCGAAGCGATACTGAGAACAGTACATGACCAACGCATCATTACTGACACAGAGTTAGTGGGTGAGTTTGTTTGGGGCAGTATTGTAAGGGACCGTTCATAATGAATGGCTAGGGAGGGAGGTACTGATGATTTTTACATAATATTCTTATGTACAAAATTGCTTTGGTTAAGCGATGAATCGCGTTTCCTTCTGCAACAACGGGATGGGAGAAACGTGTCTATGGACGTCAACACGAACGTTTTGTGGTGAACTGCGTTCGGCAGGTGGGCAGATGTGGTGGAGAAGCGTCATGGTGTGGGGGGATGTGTCCAACACGGGTAGATCAGAGCGTATCGACACGTCCGAAACCTCACCATCGTCCTCAGACACTAGCAGAAATTGGCAACGCGTTGCAGGAGGAATGGCGCAGAATTCCCCAAGCAAAAATTCGACGACTTGTGCAGTCCTCTCGAAGGCGATGTCGAGCAGTGACGTCTGCAAGGTGTGGTGTCACCACGTACGCCTGAAAGCCCCCTAGTGTTCACACATGTGCAGTGAGTGAACTGAATTAATGCTGACAATGACAACAATACACATGTTCATTCGTGTGTCGAATTTCCTTCATCTAAGTTCAAGCTTATAATCGACTTATGTACATTTAAATACGTTTAATACGTTTCTTCTTTTTGTTTCTTTTCGTTTTGTATATCTGGAGTGTTCAGATGGAATACAGTCTTTAGTGACAGACATGTCAATACCTGTAACTACTCCATCTCAACCTGAGGTGAGCTGCTGGTGTCAACGCTACAGCTGCTGATGGTCGGTGGATGTCGAAGCTACAGTTGTTGATAGTCGGGCAGATGTCGAAGCTACAATTGCTGATGGTCGGGTAGATGCCGAAGTTACAATTGCTGATGATTGGGCAGATTCGTAGGTACAGCTGTTGATGGTCGGGCAGATGTCGTAGCTACAGCTGCTGCTGATTGGGCAGATGTCGTAGCTACCGCTGCTGCTGGTTGGGCAGATGTCGACGCTGCAGCTGCTGATGGTTGGGCTATTGTCGAAGCTACAGCTGCTGATGGTTGGGCAGATGTCGTAACTACAGCTGCTGATGGTTGGGCAGATGTCGAAGCTACAGCTGCTTATGGTTGGGCAGATGTCGTAGCTACAACTGTTGATGGTCGGGAAGATGTCGTAGCTCCAGCTGCTGATTGCAGGGCAGATGTCGCAGCTCCAGCTGCTGATGGTTGGGCAGATGTCGAAGCTACAGCTGCTGATGGTTGGGGGGATGTCGAAGCTACAGCTGCTGATGGTTGGGAAGATGTCGTAGCTACAGCTGCTGATGGTCGGGAAGATGTCGAAGCTACAGCTGCTCATGGTTGGGCAGATGTCGTAGCTACAGATGCTGATGGTTGGGAAGATGTCGTAGCTACAGCTGTTGATGGTCGTGAAGATGTCGTAGCTCCAGCTGCTGATGGCTGGGCAGATGTCGTAGCTCCAGCTGCTCATGGTTGGGCAGATGTCGAAGCTACAGCTGCTGATGGTTGGGCAGATGTCGTAGCTACAGCTGCTGATGGTCTGGAAGATGTTGTAGCTACAGCTGCTCATGGCTGGGCAGATGTAGCTACAGCTGCTGATGGTTGGACAGATGTCGAAGCTACAGCTGATGATGGTTGGGTAGATGTCGTAGCTGCGGCTGCTGATGGTCGGGAAGATGTCGTAGCTACCGCTGCTGCTGGCTGGGCAGATGTCGTAGCTACAGCTGCTGATGGTTGGGCAGATGTCGAAGCTACAGCTGCTGATGGTTGGGCAGATGTCGAAGCTACAGCTGCTGATGGTTGGGCAGATGTCGTAGCTACAGTTGCTGGTGGTTGGGCAGATGTCGTAGTTACAGTTTCAATGCTTGGGCAGATGTCGTAGCTACAGCTGCTCATGGTTGGGCAGATGTCGTAGCTACAGTTGCTGGTGGTTGGGCAGATGTCGTAGTTACAGTTTCAATGCTTGGGCAGATGTCGAAGCTGCAGCTGCTGATGGTTGGGCAGATGTAGCTACAGTTGCTGATGGTTGGGGAGATGTCGTAGCTACAGCTGCTGATGGTTGGACAGATGTCGTAGCCAAAGTTGCTGATGGTTTGGGGGATGTCCTAGCTACAGCTGCTGAATGTTGGGGGGGATTTCTAAGTTACAACTGCTGATGGTTTTGGGGATGTCGAAGCTACAGCTGCTGTTGGTTGGGCAGATGTCGAAGCTGCAGCTGCTGATGGTTGGGCAGATGTCGAAGCTGCAGCTGCTGATGGTTGGGCAGATGTCGACGCTGCAGCTGCAAATGATTTGGGGGATGTCGAAGTTACAGCTGCTGATGGTTTGGGGGATGTCGAAGTTACAGCTGCTAATGGTTGGGCAGATGTCGAAGCTGCAGCTGCTGATGGTTGGGCAGATGTCGAAGCTGCAGCTGCTGGTGGTTGGGCAGATGTCGAAGCTGCAGCTGCTGATGGTTGGGCAGATGTCGAAGCTGCAGCTGCTGATGGTTGGGCAGATGTCGAAGCTGCAGCTGCTGATGGTTTGGGGGATGTCGAAGTTACAGCTCCTGATGGTTTGGGGGATGTCGAAGTTACAGCTGCTGATGGTTTGGGGGATGTCGAAGTTACAGCTGCTAATGGTTGGGCAGATGTCGAAGCTGCAGCTGCTGATGGTTGGGCAGATGTCGAAGCTGCAGCTGCTGATGGTTGGGCAGATGTCGACGCTGCAGCTGCTGATGGTTGGGCAGATGTCGAAGCTGCAGCTGCTGATGGTTGGGCAGATGTCGTAGCTACAGCTGCTGATGGTTGGGCAGATGTCGTAGCTACAGCTGTTGATGGTTGGGTAGATGTTGAAGCTACAGCTGCTGATGGTACATATATTGAGGAATACGACCGCAGTTGCTGTACGTAGCTTCAACATCTACCCAACCATCAGCAGCTGCAGCTACGACATCTGCCCACATTTACTATTGATTGCAAAGCACGGTTTCTGTTCTGGACATATACACTCCGGTGGAGTATTCGGCAATGTGAATACATCTGTTTCTGATTCTGAGTCCCATGTACATGTTGTCTATTAACGTAAGTAGATGGAGAATGAACGTGTTCCTCGTGACTAGGAACTCACAGGTTACTCACTGTCCTGTTGTTAAAACCAATCTTACATATGAGTATATATAAGTGCATTTGTATTAACATTGCCGAATACTCCACCGGGGTGTATATGTCCAGAACAGAAATCATTGATGCATAGTTTCAAGGTTTCTGGATCTTTAACCACTTCTAGTTTTCAGTTGCCCTTGCAACAACACTATCACAGAGGCCTTTCCACCGTGCTTTGCAATCAATAGTAAATGTTTCATAATACGTACATGTATATTGCTTTCTGAAAAGGTCAACTACTTTTGTTTCAATTGCTAATTTTGCTTTAAGGGTATCTCGCAACAGGGGATTCCATTGCTTTACTGTCGCATCAAAGATTGAGCTTTTCGTGATATTATACTGCAGTCTGAGAAGCGGTCTGGGATAAAAGTGTCCTGAAATATCTAGCTGCACCAATGACAAAAGGACTGGAATGTAAACTGAACATTTTGGGGAGTAAAGGATAGAAAACATACAAGCTACTGTAAATTCGTGATCCTGCTATTTTAAAGAAGAATAAATAATATGTATTTACAAGGGCACATTTTCAGTGGTTTCTGGGTATAGATTTCCGATTGTTGATGTTGGCTCCTGTGGATGAAATAGGGATGGTGGCACAGTTTCTCATTCTGCGCTAGGTATAAGCAATGGATAATCAGCACCTCCCAAACAATCTGGTCCCCAAGTGTGATCGTAGCTGATGAAGCCTTCCCACTGAAGAGCAGCAATATTAGACCCTATCCCACCCGAGAGTTATCTGAAGCGAAACGCGTGTTCCACCATCAACTGCCAAGTAGACGCGAGGTGGTTGAGAATGATTCTGGCATTCTGGTATTCTGGCTATCAGATGGAGAATCTACCATAGAAATATAATGATCTGAACTTTCACGTAGTTGCGAGGTGGTTGAGAATGATTCTGGCATTCTGGTATTCTGACTATCAGATGGAAAATCCACAGGGGCGTGTCGCGCTTAGAAACAGCGTTAGAAAGACATATAGGTACATAGGTACATAGACCCTACCCTAGTACTATATCAAAGGATATAGTACTAGGGTAGGGTCTATTCACCTATATGTCTTTCTAACGCTGTTTCTAAGCGCGACACGCCCCTGTGGGAGAATCTACCATAGAAATATAACAGTCTGAACGACTAGAGAGTAAAAAAGGTATCTTGGCTTCATGTGTCCAGCATAACGTCCTCCAAACACGATTCTCCACTGTCATGGGCGAGTGTCCAAGGGGCAGTGAGCAACCAGACTCTGGGAGGTATTGGTGGAATAGGTAGTCGTGCTGCAGTTCAGACCTGTACTAAATTCTGCCAGTGCTTCATTTCAGCGGCTGGAGAGGTTTGTTTGTTTGTTGGTTGGTTGACGTCACACAAAGTAGTGTTACAGCTATATGACGGGGTTCCTTCAATACATCGAGCCTGGACCAGACAATCCAGTGATCGACAACAGGCTGGAGAGGTTTGTTTGTTGGTTGACGTCACACACAGTAGTATTACAGCTATATGACGGCGTTCCTTCAATACATCGAGTCTGGACCAGACAATCCAGTGATCGACAACAGGCTGGAGAGGTTTGTTTGTTGGTTGACGTCACACACAGTAGTATTACAGCTATATGACGGCGTTCCTTCAATACATCGAGCCTGGACCAGACAATCCAGTGATCGACAACAGGCTGGAGAGGTACATTGGCAGTACACAGTTCTTAGAAGACGGGTTGCTGAATAGATAGTCCAGTGAAGTGCCATCAGAACAAGAAGGTTTTTTAAAAATGTTTTCACGTTGAATTCAAAAGTCTGTTTGTAACCACTGCAGAATGCAGACATACATGTTTTTGTTTACATTGAGATAAATAAATGCCAGTGTTGTTTTATACTGCCAGAGAGCTCTCTTCAGCCAGCAAAACATTTTCGGCTTCTGAATGTGTCAATAATGACGTAACATTCTCAATAATCTTTTTGTCGTTATTTTTTCAAACTTTGAAGTGTCAAAATGTCATTTAGTGGTGTATTTGTGATAGTGATCTAAAAAGGACTTATGTGTAAAAATATCCACAGCTAATTCATGCATATCTGGGGGCTTTAGACAAGGGTTTGTAACATGTCATATTGGGTCCACTTTATCTCAAAAGTCCCCATAAGATGTTAGTTGTTCAGTTTTAGTTTTTTAAACACTGAAATGCGTGTTGTTTAAAACGTTTACTGCAGCCATGGGAGGTGCCTAGATAAGGTGACAGTTCGTTACATGAGAATTCGCCTGAATAGGACACTGCTATGGGGAAATCATGTTTATCCAACTCACTATGTAAAGGATGTAATCGCATAGCGGTAAAACCAAATAAACATGGAAGGATTTGAAATCAGTTGTTGTAGACATGTCCATGTTCATTAAACATTGTTTCATAATGAGTGAGTGAGTTTAGTTTTACGCCGCACGCTGAAATATTCCACCTATATGGCGATCAGACAATCCAGGGATCAACAGCATGAACATCGATCTACGCCATTGGGATTCGATCTCATGTGTCAACCCAGTCAGCGAGCCTGACCACTCGATCCTGTTAGTCGCCTCTTAAGACAAGCATGGGTTAATAAATATCAATTGTAACCCGGACATGGGCGTAGCTAACATCATAAAAAAAGCCCGGGCTTGCACATGATTGTTGCTAAATATGTTGGGCAAGTCCTCAATACTATCTAAATAAAAGGTTTTGCAACCTATCGGGCTTACAAGAAAAACATGGCTTGCTTCGCGCCTGCCGGATCTTCACGGGTCTCATTAATATTGTTTTATAAATTGTTTTATTATACATTGCTGATATTTGCCATATTTACGAAGACACGACGAGTGCTGATGGCTCGAAGGTTTCTTGTTCGATGTTTGTGCAAGTGGCACATGTTGAGGTAGGTGGGGAGTCTTTACAAATGTGCCTAACGTGCATGCATCGCTGTCAAAAACTCCGTTTTACTTTCAGAAAAAGAATAGGCTCAGCATGCAAAAATGTTTGTGGTGAGAAAGCCATGTTAGCCCTATCCCCAGCACCTTTACCCTAACACATACCGACCCATGTACTATAAATGAAAAGGAAAATAAAAAAAAATAAGACAAGGCATATAGACAAAACAAAAGAAAAAACCCAAGACTGACTGACTGAGTTTGGTTTTACGCCGCTTTTAGCAATATTCCAGCAACATCACGGTGGGGGACACCAGAAATAGGCTTCACACAATGTACCCATGTGGGGATTCGAACCCGGGTCTTCGACGTGACGAGCCAACCCTTTAACCATTAGGTTACCCCACCGCCCCCCAAAAAAACAAGAAAACTATGTGGGTGCTTGATATTGCTTTCCAAAATGTGTTTGGAATAAGTACAGTAACTGCTTCAAGTCCTGCCCTACGTAGACAGATCTAGAGCATGGACCAATCACCTTACGGTACGATGCCCTTGCAGTCGGTTTTGGACCAGGAAGTACACTAGTACTGTTCCATTGAGTTATGTAGTGCGGTCATGCTGAAGCACGTTTGAGCCGAACTCCACAAAGCAATATCAGGGCTATGTTATAGTTCTTTGGTTAGAGACCATGTATCGATATTCATTGCTATTGAGGTGATTTGGTATTGAAATGGGACCTGTCACAACAACGGACGTAATACCCCTCTTCTGATCAGCCCACGAACATGCCCATTCACGGAGCCTTCTCAGCCGTATCACTTACTTATGCAAGCGAGTGATTTTACGTCGCATTTAGCAATAGTCCTGGAGTTTTACGGGGGAAGACAGAAAGAAAATAGTCTCAATATTGTTCAGATTTTCGAATTTAACCGGGTCTTTGACATGACGAGCGAAGGGTTTATATGTACCAATGTGTTATTCCAACCGCTTTCACTCAAAACAGCTACGTGGGTAGCATATGGATACCTTGAAAAGGGAGATATGTGCTAATAGCCTCATGTATACATTCTGTTTGCAAGTCCCCATGGGACCTCAGAGTTAGTAGTAGTAGTAGTAGTAGTAGTAGTAGTAGTAGTAGCAGTAGCAGCAGCAGCAGCAGCAGCAGCAGCAGCAGCAGCAGTAGTAGTAGTAGTAGTAGTAGTAGTAGTAGTGAATGAGTACTTCAGTTATACCACGGCATGTCATAATAATTATGTTGGGTATTGAGAGGACGAGGAAGCGTAGGAGAATTTGTAAGAATTATGACAATTGGGGAACACAACTTCCCACATAGACTCCCGTTTACACTCATCCAGTTCTCATTCTCAGCCCCAGCAACCCATTTTCGTCAATGTCTCATATTAATTCTAATATGACATTGTTATCACTGTCCTCTCATCCTCTTCCCATGTCCCCGCTCTAGCACCCCATTCTCATCCATGTCCCCTCTCTAGAGTCTCATCCTCATCCATGTCCCCGCTCTAGCACCCCATTCTGATCCATGTCCCCGCTCTAGCACCCCATCCTCATCCATGTCCCCGCTCTAGCACCCCATTCTCATCCACGTCCCCGCTCTAGCACCCCATTCTCATCCACGGCTCCACTCTAGCATCCCATACTCCATCAGAATGTAATATTCCAAAACGTATAAACCATGTGTGTTTCATGGATCTCCTTTGGCAAAGTAGGGAAAAGGAAATTAAAAATATGATAGACTCTCTGAAAATTTCAGATCTGAAGGGATCGGGTGATTACATGTGTCTGTTTTCTCCCGTCACCGTACCTCACACGTATCACTGCTCGTGTTATCAACCACTGGGTGAGATTAGAGATAACATTATGAGAAATATTAATTATCCATATTATCGGATTGAATGGACGTCCCATAACTAGTTCTATTTGTCTATTCTGAGATTAAGACTCAAATTACCCTCAATTTCCTTACACAAACAAGCGATTTCAAACATATTTCTTTATTTCTGCCTCAATGTATTTTTGATTTCTCGAGTAGCCTATCGTATATACAGAGAAAATTGTGCTAGCTAAACAAAACACGCTAGTAATTGAAGTTCCTAAATACACGATCTCGGTTAGCAATCTCAATTTTGAACAAATTCTATACCAATTGCAATCTACCTAACGATCTGTTGACTACCGCTATTCATGCTACTCTCAAGTGTCGTCTGCTCGCGTGACAAGTAGCGATGGTCACGCCACACTCCCCTGTCAGGCAACGCCGGCCGTTTTCAAACATTTCGTTTTGTCCGTGGTGGTCACCTGAAGCGCAACAATGACCCACATACAACCCGCGCTCTTGACAACGTAAAATCTCATGACGTCATATCAGGTGACTGAAGCCGATACAGAGCCTAAGTAAAACAGGAGCCAAGCGATAGATGTCATTAGTACCTAAGGGAGATAACTGATGTGGTATCGGAACCCATGTAAACATTGCACCGTGGTTTCGGCTATGCTATGTAGTGTATATATGTCCAGAATAGTGGTTGATGCATGAATACGTTTCAAAGATACGTTACAACCCGCGAGGGGTACCCAGCTATATATATCATCGCGTGATTCCCCTTAGCTTCTCGGGGCAGGAAAAGGTGTGTCGGGTGTGTACAAGGGGTCGATCGGACCTGTATCCGCAGTCAGAATTGAGGACGCGGCCCATATACGCTGGAAGAAGGACATGTGCAAACAGTGAAATTTATAACTCAGGTTACCAAACGCCCCGTCTCATGATCAACTGAGTGATAAATTTAACAGGTCACAACCTGGATCTCAGGCAAAGACTTCACTGGAACAAGTTACCGGTATTTTGTGCTCTGTTTCGTTCGAAATCTGAATGAACCCATACAGGTATGTAAACACCATTGTATCATTACTCATATTATATGTATGTATACTGATGTTTCAGTTTATGTAATAGGCGGTACATATACGTACACAGATGTAGACAATATGTCCCATTCTTAACAGGGCACGCTGTTGCCTGACGTTAAGACCTCCATTATACTCAGCTATATTTCTTACGAAGCACGCGTGTGAAATCACATAGCGATATATGTACATGTGTGCATTCCCGTTTCGTGACCATGTTTTTAAGTCACTATCAACATCGCCCATGCGTATGGATATGGTTATTGAACATTACTCATATATTCTCATGGGCCATTTAGCTGATTGATTCGTGGAAACAACACGCGTGCTAATAATACGCCGGCTTGGTCTGAACAATATCAGTGGTTGAGCTAGGCGATATATTACTTTGTTCCTGAATAATGCCTCATTTTCTGTCGAATGATTTTTTTTCTTGCAAATTGTACTTTTTTCTCATTATCAAGCGGACATTACACAGCAACACAAAAATTGTGTTAACGTATCAATTTATTGGATGTAATATGATATGCACTATGATGTTCAAATGTCATATTGTAATGGGAAGATCATCCGTGCATGTCTTGTCAAAGATTACTGATGTGTTGTACGAGAACCTGCAGCTCCCGAACCAGGGCAAGCATCACCGCAGTTTGTCTGACCGTGTGTCTCGAGAACCAACCATATCATTACGACTATATGTCAAAGCAATAGGGGCGGTGGGGTAGCCTAATGGTTAAAGCGTCCGCTCGTCAAGCCGAAGACCCGGGTTCGAGTCCCCACATGGGCACAATGTGTGAAGCCCATTTCTGGTGTCCCCCGCCGTGATGTTGCTGGAATATTGCTAAAAGCGGCGTAAAACCAAACTCAGTCAGTCAGTCAGTCAAAGCAATATTGAATACTAGCGTACGTTTAAGGAAGCACTTTCGACGATGTCATTGCGAAATTTTGTAGTACTAATTAACGTCAGTTTCTTTGAAGAGCTTCGATATCATCATTATTGAATGTGTAACGTACGTTGTGTGATGAGCGTTCACTGGCTTAATTGCAACAGTAAGTGTAAACGTACGTTGTTTGAAGAGCCTCCAATGGCTTCATTGCAACAGTAAGTGTAAACGTACGTTGTTTGAAGAGAGTTCAATGACATTATTGCAACAGTAAGTGTAAAACGTACGTTGTTTGCAACAGAAGGTGTAAACAATGGCTTCATTGCAACAGTAAGTTTAAACGTACGTTGTTGTTTGAAGAGTAAGTTTAAATGACATTATTGCATTATTGCAACAGTAAGTGTAAACGTACGTTGTTTGAAGAGCTTTCAATGGCTTCATTGCAACAATAAATTTTAACGTACGTTTTTTGAAGAGCGTTCAATAACATTATTGCAACAGTAAGTGTAAACGTACGTTGTTTGAAGAGCTTTCAATGGCTTCATTGCAACAATAAATTTAAACGTACGTTGTTTGAAGAGCTTTCAATGGCATCATTGCAACAGTAAGTGCATTTAAACGTAGGTTGTTTGAAGAGCTTTCAATGGCATTATTGCAAAAGTAGGTGTAAACGTACGTTGTTTGAAGAGCCTTCAATGGCTTCATTAAAACAGTAAGTGTAAACGTACGTTGTTTGAAGAGCTTTCAATGGCATCATTGCAACAGTAGGTGTAAACGTACGTTGTTTGAAGAGCCTTCAATTACTTCATTGAAACAGTAAGTGTAAACGTACGTTGTTTGAAGAGCGTTCAATGGCAGTATTGCAACAGTAAGTGTAAACGTACGTTGTTTGAAGAGCCTTCAATGGCTTCATTGCAACAGTAAGTGTAAACGTACGTTGTTTGAAGAGCTTTAAATGGCATCCTTGCAACAGTAAGTGTAAACGTACGTTGTTTGAAGAGCTTTCAATGGCATCATTGCAACAGTAAGTGTAAACGTACGTTGTTTGAAGAGCTTTCAATGGCATCATTGCAACAGTAAGTGCATTTAAACGTACGTTGTTTGAAGAGCGTTCAATGGCATCATTGCATCAGTAAGTTTAAACGTACGTTGTTTGAAGAACGTTCAATAGCATCCTTGCAACAGTGTGTAAACGTACGTTGTTTGCAGAGCTTTCAATGGCATCATTGCAACAGTAAGTTTAAACGTACGTTGTTTGAAGAGCTTTCAATGGTATCATTTCGGCATTAAGGATAAAAGTAACGTTATTGTCTCTGATGGCTATTAACGTGACCGTTGTGGCTCGGAACGCCAATGTCTGATTGTGTCACAGTCCATCCGTGTTCTATGGACTCAGTTGTACAGGTCTATTTCGGAGTGTTCGTATCGGAGAACTCCATTCTCAGTCGTATCAATCAGATCACCTCATTTTGTTCGTCATCTAATTTTGTTCTTGTCCGACTGGCATATTTCTAAAGCTAAGCTAAAAGACAATTCTCAGAGAGAAACGTTCAGCTGAAATAGGTTGAAATATATAGAATCCAAACCAATTTGACCCACAAAAGTAAACCCAACGCTAGCCCGATCTCACAATTACCTACGTCAGATCACTACAGCTTCTTGACTACCCATACGGGTCCAATGAATGATGTCACTGGGTGTTTTGTGGTTATGAATAAATGCCGGTTAAAGAAAGCTTCATCAGTACCGGAGGGCGGAGGCACAAGTAGGCGATCAGTCGACAAACTATCTGTGTCTGGCGCTCTCTCGTTTTTTTTATTATTTATGAGTCGATCTTTCTTCGATATTAGTAGTATACACCTCAATGTTTCCAGTTTGTAGACACTGATGATTAAGTAAGTGTAGGACACGTATGTATGAAGGTCAAGACTTGCATAGCTATGTACTGAGAGAAGTGGAAGGGGCATCAGCATTTTGGTATGGGGGTGTGCATATTGGAGACTATTTATTTCTTTTCAAGCTGTATTCAACAAAGCTGTATTCAACAAAACATACTATTCTGTGTTTTTACCATTGGCCCAAAATATTCAGGTTGGGATTATTTCTGAACAAACTATTCATTTAAGAAGTATTTCCATTCACCAGAAATAACTCTAGGCAAGAGTTAGACAATTTGGCCTTCCACAAAAATGTTACAATATTATAAAAATTCTGAAACAAATACAAATTCGAATACACAATGCCAGGACATTTTTTACGTTGTAACATTTTGAAAGTACTATTTTATAGTCAACAATTAAATTTTGTGCATGAGTAATTAACAATATATTTAATACATATTTTTGGCGTTAATTAGACACTTTTCAGTTAATGGCTAACTCGTCTCACTAAACCGTTTGATCTATAGTTGTGTATACTGTGTGGCTATATTTCATAGCGGCCATCAGATGTTTTGCACAAAAGCTAACCTCCTAGGTCATTCAGTCACACATGCGCATATTCTGGTGCACCCGCCATGACCCAAACTGTCTAGATGTCACTTTATAGCTTGGATAATCCTCGTGTCGACGTTTTGCCTTGCGGCGATCCGAATTTCGCTGAGCTGGCAAATTCATTGTGACACATTGCTGAATTTGCCTTCTGTGATATAACGATAGCAGTCGTTGTCATTCGGGAGCTACTGTCTCTCTCCGTACGAAAAGACTACAACCGGAAGTATTTCAGCCTCCATGAAAGCTTTTACATTTTTTGTCTGAAATCTGCCATGTCTCATTATTATTACGGGAAACCAATGGAGCATTTCTACCAGTAATCACCCTATATTTGGTCATGGTTGGAAAACCTGGAAATATGAAAGAACCCATCGTCATCGTCAGATCGTAAATAAAAATGTCGCCATATCGTTCGCCGAAAGAGAGCGGTTCATTTACATTAATTTTTTTTAAAATGAATTGAACTGGACAAATTTGTTGTTTTTTTTGTAACAAATAAATAAAGTTCTATTCATAATCAAGTTTTTACAAGTTTTTAGGTTATACAACAAAGTGTCAGCTTGGTAGTGGAGGAGTGAGTGAGTTTAGTTTTACGCCGCTTTTAGCAATATTCCAGCAATATCACGGCGCGGGACACCAGAAATGGGCTTCACACATTGCACCCATGTGGGGAATCGAACCCGGGCGAACGCTTAAACCACCAGGCTACCCCACCGCCCCTGATATTGGGGGAAAGCCTTAAGTGATACATATCGCCATACATTCCTTAAAAACAAAACAAGACTGTTATACATAATATACATAATATATACAGTCTATAGAGCAACTCTCACTGAGCTACGAGAGACGTAAACGTCAAGAAAGATTGTACATATATGCCTAGTCATATTAGATAGAATATTTTTCCTGCGTTGTAGAATTTAAAAACAGGTTTGGGGTGTGTATTGCATTCTGTTTAGAGTGTTAAACTGATTTAGCTTTGTCACAGATCTTAGATTTCTATTCCACCGTGAAACCCAAGACTTTGAACCATTATCAGGAGGAACATTGGGTCCCCTCTTACCTAAAAACTCTGCTCAGCGAATTATGGCGTCTTAGATCACAGGGTCACCATTGCTTATATGCACATTCCCATACGTCTCTAGTGATGGCTTAAATAATCTTTAAACTGGATGTGTGAGCAAAATACGCTCAACGTTTTGCGGACGCCTCTTATCAAAGTGATAGTAATTCATAAAGTGATGCATTTAAGTAGGACGGAACTGCAGAGGAACTGTCCTTTTAACAGTAGATTGCTATGATTATTGATAGAGTTGCGTAGCGTATATTCATGAGCTAAGGGCTCCTGTGGGGATTCGCGGTAAGACATTGTCCTCAATAACCCATGCTTGCCTTTAGAATCGTCCAAAACGATCGGGTTTGTTGTGATCGGCTTGATTAACTGCGTGTCATCGTAACCCGAAGGATGGGGGCAGCGGTTTGGCCTAGAGGTTAAAGCGCTGGCTTGTCACGCCGAAGACCCGGGTTCGATTTCCCACATGGGTACAAGGTGTGAAGTCCATTTCTGGTGTCAGCCGCCGTGATATTGCTGGAATATTGCTAA